GAATCCCAAGTGGGACAAATACAGAGAAAAAATGTCCAACAAACGGATGGGCAAGCACAATGACGGGGGAATTCAGTGGCAGTATGGATTATATAATAGTCCAAAGGCTACCTTCAACAGTGGAAGGGAAGTGCCAGAAATACTCACGCATCAGGTCGCTAAGGATAGTACCACTTGGTTGTGAGCCAACGTTGAGCAAAATCAAGACGGTGTGCAAAAACCATTTCAGTTTGCTGGAAATGGAATGCGACTTGCTTGCTGGAGAAAGAGGGCCATCATTTACCGACGTCACCAAGATAAGGAATTGGAAGGTCCTTCATATTCATTTTATCCCCAAATCGAATTAAGAGTGCGATCCTTCACAACAAAACACAAGAAATAGAGCTGCAGCAAGCCCTGTGAAGTAAGAGCAGGTAAGTTGCTCACAAGCGCTACCAGCGCCTTCTAAAATACCTCCTTCTGTTCCACTTAGTGCCATGCTTCAAATTGGGAAGCTTATACAACCCAAAGTTCACGCTGTAACTGTAGAACTGGAACAGTTTGACTTGAAATCAAGGGAATGGCTACCCCCATTCGAACTAAAAGTCTCTCTGAGCAAGGAGAAATTTGCCAGCAGGGCATTCAGAGATGCTTACGAAGCCACAGTTATAGCTGGTGGATTGCAGCCTGGAGATAAGTATGTCCTCAAGAAATTTAAGAAAGAGCAAGCCAAGGAAGTGGAAAAGCTTTTCTTTAGCATTGAGAATCACACGAGGAAGATGAACTCCCTAGCATGAAATTTTGCCATGAAATTTGACCTGGATGCACCTGCAGAATTTGGACAAACTTTCAGCTACACCAAAGTGTATCTTGGGATGCTCAATGGCGAGTTTGTAACCCTGGAGAGTTACTTGAATGGGACATTTCAAAAGTACATTAACAACACTGGTAACATCTTTGGTGAGGGAAGCGAACTAAGCATGAAAGCTGAAAGCTTTGTTCATTATAGCTACATTGCATCAGCAAAACAACTGATGATTGTAGACATACAAGGTGTAAATTATGCACTTTCCAGAGATAGCAAGCTCGACACAGATGGCTAGAGACGATACGATTCTCTTTTGTTCCGGAAATCTCTCAACAACAGCGATCGAGGAGTTTCTTAGCAAACACACATGTAACAAATACTGCCTGTTTCTTAAACTGGATCAAGTGGTTCACGAAGAGGATAACTAAAACATTGTCCAAATTAAGGCAGATTTAGTCAGCTGCTGCCCAACCAGTTCTGTCAGCTCCCACTTTATGCAGTTGGAAAAATGCTCACTTTTTTGGTATGCCACATCAGACTTATTTTGCACTGTTGAGCAATTTTGTGAGTTACTGTTGCAATCTGGTGTTTTGCCAGCAAGTCAAAGTTTTAGTTATAATGAACATTGAAATTCATTGATGAATTAATTAAAAATTGTTGACATGTTAACTACAATGGATTCAATATACATGTAGAACACGTCAACATCTCACCTGTTATGTTCCCTAAGAGTGACCAACATCTCATTTCTCCTTATGTTCGTAATGCTGTTCAATCATGACAAGTGTGGAAATTAGGGCGGGGAAAAGTTTTTATGTTGATTTTTGGTGTTAAAGAATTAGAGTTGAAGTTTTAACTTTGATCACTCAATTTTGTTTTTCAGGGGGAAAAATATCTAAAACTGTGAAAACTAGTAGAAAAGAATGTTTCTGTTGAATCCATGTGATTTACTAAACAATGTGTTAAGGTCTGTAGTGGGCAAAGAAATTAATCCTGTGGTGCTGTGGTGCTGTTGAAGTTGGTCAAAA